GTCATCTGGTGCAATTTCTAAATCGGAAACCTGTTTTGATTCTGTTCGAAGATTGCAGAGAGGCGTGGTTGGATCAAGCGGATGTTAATCAGATCTCTTACTAAATTAATCATCGTGGATAATGGAGACTACTTTCTTCTATGATGACAATAAAATTTGAATTTGCCATGAACCTGAGTACCACCGAAGTACCAGTCCACGATAAGTGACACTTAACAAGCATAAAACTAAAGTAAAAAATAAATTTCACCATGAATTTTGAATAACAGAACGTACATACTCTTAACTTTGCGCAACAGGTGTTTTTTTTTCGTGAAAAACTGCGTTTTACTTCTTTTTTGCCCAGTATTAACACCGGGTGTAGTCAAGCTCATATCATAGAGTAATTCTCTAGGGTTTTAAAAGTAAATAGTTCACCCATTTTGTTCGTGAATCGGCGTGTTATCAACTTAAGCAAATTGTCATGTTTTTAAAAATTAACTGCACAAAATACGAAGTAAAATGGTAAGTTACTGTCCACATAATAAGCAAAATTTTGTAACCAGTCTAAACGTCCAAATTTTAAAGAAGCTATAGGCCTTGGGGCATTTTAGAAATTAATATTAAGTCATGTCCCGACCGTCACTGTCCCTACCGTCACAGTGCTTACTGTCACGATCCCAAGTAGCAAATATTTGTTTTTCTACAAATATCCCTTAAATGTAGCTATATCCAAAATAAGATTTAATTTTTTGCTGGGTTTATTGGTTTTTGGTATTATTACGCATGGCATGAAATGGTTGTGGTGTTCTTTTACATACTATGGATGCGGCAGAGCAATAGTTTGTCCAGGGCCAGACAACAGGAAGACCCGAATAAGAGAAATAATAAGAGAAATCTTTAATAGCGCAAGAGAAGAAACGAAGTAGGAAAAGAAGAATGGAAGCTATGAAAAACTAAGACCAAGAAACGAAGTCACTGTGTAGAGAAAAAGAGTGCCTTAAAATAAAGATACAGAAACAAACTGAAAGCAGCGGAAACTGTCGTCGTTGATGAAAGTGCCAGTTTTCCGACGGGTTCTTATCGCTAGGTCGCTATCTATCAGGACCTTCAGAGGAGCATGCCAAAGTAAAGGGTAGTAAAGGATGTACCAACATGAAAAATGTTTCGAGAGGAGAAGTCATTTTTCAACTTGATGACTCCTCTGTATATAAATAATACAGGGAGAAAAAAACAGCCCTTCCCGGTTTTTCTCAGTACAAGGTCTTCCGCCGTAGATTAGACGACACATGAGGTATTTTCTAGATTTTGAGTGCTTGTAACAACCTGATCTGAATAAACCATTTTGAGTAATCCTAGCAATGTATCGTACAGATGTCAGAAATAATGAAAGTGCTACCAAAGCCATACATCCATACCAATGGTAACCGATTTCATTATGAATTTACTGAAAACGTTGATGTTTTCGCATATTTGATTTAAAAACCTCTAATAATGGATAAAGAATACATGAATTTGCTACTTGTTCCGAGCGCCACATCGGCTTGTCCCGACACATTTTTCCATTCAAACTTTGTTATAAATTATAATTAAATTTGAACAAGATCTTTACGTATCGAAAGTTTGGACCTTTGAGTATACACACACAGTTATTTGCACTAATATCATTGATAGTTTCCTACAAACTTTCAATAGTGGTTGGAAATTTGTAGTAGACTATGAAGAAAGAGTCTTGACCGTCACAATTTTTAATTCCTTTTATTTCATTAAAAAAGATAATCTCAGCATTTTAAATTCATATAAATTAGAGCACATTTATAAAATTTATTATCACTGTTTCAATATCAGTACAAAAATATGCTTAACTACATAGAAAACAGAGTAAAAATGTCCCGACCGTCACCATGGAATGCCCCAGAATCAGTTTGTTCTTAAATAACAATTTTTATATATAACTCGAAGTGTAAAAATCATAAAAAATATGATTTTATTTGCTAGTACCCTATTGCTGTTACCCTGTCGTCTGCCTATCTGTCAGTCGGTCCGTATGTAATCAGAATGAGTTATAACAATAAAAAATATATATATATATAGAATGCTTTGCCCAAAGCTGAAAAAGAATTCAATTATTTTTCATTGGGGATTCCATATTAGATAAGGAGACGAAATATTATTTTTCTTTAATACCACAGCATATGACACATCATTATCTAGAGCTCGTTGAGTTGGATATAAATATTATTTTTTAATGTCAATAACATAGAAATTGAGGGCTTTCAAAGTTGTCATATTTAAAATATTTTTGTTTCGGGTTATATCTCAAAATAGAAAGTAGAATAATGTCCCATGTGCTGTATTTAAACAACAATAACAAATAATGAAAACGCCGAGTGATAATGTACTTTGTAAGTTGTGACGAAAACAAACAAATAATATTTCCTTTCGTGGTTTATTGCGATCTCCCAAATAACAGAAGTGATATTTTGGCGTTTTTTGCTCGATATTATAATTAGTGTCTAATGTTGTATAGGAAAAAAATAGTATGGAACTTTTCATGCGCGAGTCCAACTAGAACTTGGCCGTTTTTTCATTCCTGGTCTGGTTGTATAATATTCTGCTTAGTTTAAAACTACATGCAACAATCTCGAGCTCCTCTTCACTTGAGAAGGCAAGTAAAGACGTTGGTCCCTACCAGATAAGTTTCACACACGAATCCGCATTGGAGCCAGACAGTATATTATTGCCCGTTCTCTCTATTCCATGCTTAAGGAAGACTTGTATTGTATCTATTAAATGATCTCTTCGTAGACTTCAACATTTAATAGGTGATGATGATGGTAATTAAATTTGCATTAAAAGCTATTTTGTTTTTAATTAATTTAAAATTCCATAAGTTATTTTTTTTATACCAAAAATTATCAAACGATGTCTTTGCTATTGGACAATTCATGAGAAAGATTTTATGTGAAAATCATTATTCCGTAAAAACTTATACAATAATGATTTTTTTATGATAAGCTACGATAATGATTCAAAATAAATGCACGAAATTCACGCAATAAATAAATGTATTTTTTTTATTTAATGATTTAAAAATTGGTTTATGTTAAAAACTAGTTGACTTACCAGTTCAGTTTCATACAAATCGCCGTCACCTATGCTAGATTCCTCTGCTATATTCGTTAGGAACATACTCGGTCTCATAGATACACGTCGTTTATAGCTCGTCGCTGTCCGAAACGTGTCATCGTCTTTAATATCATCATTAAGAGAAGCGAATTGTTCATAAAAATTAATAACACCAGCGAGCTCGTCATCTATGTCAATTGCATAGTTTGTGGCTTCATCTGGAGCTTTTCGTGTAGTGCTATTTTTGCGGAATGTTTTTGCACCGATGCTACTGTTACTAATCTCACTAGCAACACGAGTATCAGTGTATTCATAATGCAAATCGAAACCACGATCATCAAACAGACTTTTGAATTTCGCCCAACATCCTATATTACCACGTTCTTCTCTGTTACCGCTTATGTGGTTCTCTGCCATTTTATTCATCCCTAAATAATTACAGAATGTCTCACCAATGGCAGAATATTATTAATCTGATTAGAGGTACATATCATAATCGTCATTACCAACACTATATTTATCTTTACCAAGTGCCTGTAAATCAATGCCGATGATTCCGAATCAAGGAAAACTAGAAAATAATAATTGATTTTTGAAACTGATTATTGCTGATATAGGATATGTTATAGTTTCATATTGATAAATATGATAAGATGAGGCTACAACTAGTGCGATTAGGCCCAAGGCTTCTGTAATTAGATCGAACTAAGATATTTTTGGTAGATTTACAGTTCTTGGAATTTATTTAACTATAGATATTTTTGATAAGACGTGAAACGTTGAAGTCGATACGATTCAAGGTTTCTAATACACTCATATTGAAGTATTGTAGGTATCTTCAGTTTTGTGTTTGAATCACATTTCTCATACGACACATTCACTTTGATCGGCACTAATTCACAATTTCTTTTGATATGTTACACTTTGAAGTTCACTTTATACTATTCCTTTTTTAAGCAAAATAGATACAGCGATATTTTTACGTTGACACAAATTGTATATTTAGAATTATACGATCCGTTTAGACGTACTTTACATTAAAATAAGCGGTAAAATTCCACACTAACCGATCGATATGACCGCTTGATTAATACTAAACAATAATTGATATTAATAATTTGGTTTTTCGATTATATCTTGATAAGTGTGGGTTTATCGCTAGTTACATAGATTACAGGTTATAATAAACTATACATGAATAATTTACAATATGGCGAATGATATAAATAAATTTACGAATGAAACAGAGTCAGATTTCAGAAGGATATTTCTATTTGGTATACTTTCTATTTACATGTAGGAAGTGTAAGTATGATCGAATTTTATTAAACTGTTTATTTCGACGATTCTAATCACTTCCCACTGATTGTAATGAAGATATTTGATAGACGATCCTTTGGAGTGTGTGATAAAGAAATCGTTTAACGAATAAATATAGAGTACCCGTCTATGAAAAGGAGCATAGAATTTTTATTGACTTACTAAAAGGCTAACCAGGCTTTCTTCGTTATTTAAGTGTTTTAGCCAAAGCAGCGGGTGGCAGGGATTTTAAGTATACAGCATTGGTTATCACGATACTTTTATGCGACTTTCGGTAGTTGCAAAGATTTTGTTTAGGGTGTTTTGACAACACCTTGGCCTTAGAGCACCTGTTAGTGTAAGAAAGTAAGAAATACTAGAAAAAATCGACACGGCCATTAGAGTCGCAGTAACATAATGTTCAGTGCATCCGTCCGGATAGCGGAGGGTTCGAGTTCGCGTGAATTTTTTTTTAATAAAATGTTTCTTTAGTTTTTAACATCTAGAAGTTAATTGCTTAATAGGTTTTGGTCACCTATATAATGACCGACCATTGCGAAAGTTGCTTATTCTACGATCGCAGACCGAACGTGCTATTCATCTGCGCCATCGAGCTCCCTTGCCACGAATAAACGATGCGTACCTTTTGTACATACGTATGTGGTTCTAAAACGTATGATCAACTTACGGCGACGGCAACCATCAGCTCGTCTTCCGGCGTAAGCCGCGTATCGATGTACATGCGAATGTGTTTCTAAAATGTGTGATCAACTTACGGCGATGTCAACCATCAGCTCGTTTTCTGACATAAACCGTGTATCTATGTACATACGTATGTGGTTCTAAAATGTATGATCAACTTACGGCGCGCCATCAACCATCAGCTCGTTTTCTGGCATAAGCCGCGTATCTATGTACATAGGTATGTGGTTCTAAAATGTATGATCATCTTACGGCGACGTCAATCATCAGCTCGTTTTCCGGCATAAGCTGCGTATCTATGTACATAGGTATGTGGTTCTAAAATGTACGATCAACTTACGGCGACGTCAATCATCAGCTCGTTTTCCGGCATAAGCCGTGTATCTATGTACATAAGAATGTGGTTCTAACATGTATGATCAACTTACGGCGACGGCAACCATCAGCTCGTTTTCCGGCATAAGCCGCGTATCTATGTTTGTGGTTCTAAAATGTATGATTAACTTACGGCGACGTCAACCAGCGGCTCGTCTTCCGGCGTAAGCGCCAACGAGGAGCGGCGGCCAGTGCGCGCACCCGGCGACCCACTCGAGCTGCCTGGGGACAAATTTAAAATATATTGTAATTTTTATTATTTTAAAGCATGTAAACTGCTTGATGTTTAAATCTAAAGAAAATATAACTAGAAAAACTTCCACGCGGACCAGGCAGCAGACGGGACTCGAAACCGCACCCTTCGCAATCCGGGCGAATGCACTGACCAATTATGCGGTAGCATAATATATCTGCTAGCTGCCTTGCAGCTTAAGAATGGCTAGAAGAATTTCGACGCGGTCCGTGAGGGCCGCGGTAGCATAATTGGTCAGTGCATTCGCCCGGATTGCGAAGGGTGCGGGTTCGAGTCCCGTCTGCTGCCTGGTCCGCGTAGAATTTTTTCTAGTTATATTTTCTTTAGATCAAAATATATTGTTACATTTTTATTTTTAAAAGGAATTGACCTGCTTAATCCATCAATTCAAAGAAAATGTGGTTCATCTACAATGGTGGTTATGGTGCTATCGATACTAAATAATGTGTTTATTGAGCCCAATAATTTGCTAACCGTAGGACATACTGGTTCTAATTGTTATTTTTTTGTATTTGATACTTCATTTATCAAGGAAATAATTGGCTACATAAACATAACATCATGATATGACGAATAGGAGCGGAGCATCAATAAAAAAAAAAGAAAACGGGAAAAGGCTTCCGTTCCGTGTGTAAAAGGCTAAATCGCAAGGTAACAGCTAGTGCATGATAAGGTTTACAGAACTTAAATAATCTCGTAGGATGAATTAATAGATCAAAAAGAACCATTCTTTTCTCCAAACAACTCTGCCCAATTTTGTATTATAATGAATTGATGTGTAGAAAAATACGCCGATTTCATCAAAAATATAAAAGGAGTTTATTATCTGTTACCACATAAAAATGTCGTTCAAACATTTAAATTAATGGCAACAGAGTAAATATATTATGGTAAATGTGCACCTTTAAGTGAATATAACAATTAGCTATGGAAATCACAGGATTTTTGATACAGCGAATCTCAACCAAGGATTTGAATTTAAACCAATAATATTAACTGTCAGTCAATCACAAATTGCGTCTAAATAATAACGTTTCTTTATACGCAGATTCCCTATTTAATTCAGATTTTCAGCAATTTTATTAGGATTTGTTTGAGATTCTGATGAGTCTTTTAAGTATAATTTTAGATGTTTTTGGAAATAATTTTTACCAAGATACAAAATTGGGCAGAAATCGAAAGTCTATTTACGAAAATTTTAGAGATTTTGCGAAAACGCGGGTAATTAGACAAAGTTTAGATAAATTGTAATGAGACATTTTTTTCTATCGTCCTATCTTCAAAAGTTTTTATTCAGAAAGAAACAGCTGTAACAAATATTGTCATCTATGGCATGTTGTTGTGAACTCGATATATCGAAAATATCGCAACATTGCAAGGCGAAGATGCGCTCGATGCATTAGCTGATCAATAGGTGTGTGACGTCATTCGTTGATGGACACTTATCCCGGTTTCTAGCGCAGCCGCCCACTGAGTATCGAAGGTCCCGTTCTACGTACACGTTTGTCCTTGTAAATTTTAATGCCATTTCCCTGTTATTAGAAGGTCCTAAGAGCTCATTCTTTAAAGAACAATACGGGTCTGTTTTGATATTTTTAAGCAAATTATTGGGCAATTGGGTCAGAAATCAGTTTGTTCGATTATATATTAAAGAGTATGATGAACGTACGGTAACTTAGTAGTAAAAAGAGAAACTTAACTACGGAAAAATAGATTTAAATAATCCAGTCTTTAGCTGAGTTATTCGCGGTCTTTTTGCGAAAATTACGTAAGTAAGAACGTAAGTAGACGTTTGTCTTCTTAATTTTTTTTGCCATTAAATGAATAAGCTAAAGTAGCGGGTCAAGTACTAGAAATTCAGATTTCTATACTAAGGGTTAATTACAATATTGGGAAACTAATTAATTGTAAGGTCTAGCAAAAATGCCCAAAAATACGTTGTGAATATAGTTATCTAGTATTTATATTTATAGTAAATTTCTTCAAAGGGTTATTATTGACAAAAAATCGTTTTTTAGGCAACACCCTTTTTTAATTCTGAAATTTATTTCATTATTAAATAAATATTGAAACTGTAACAACACATTTTGTTGACAATTAAAAAGCATTCGTGTGTAAATGTAGTCACATACTTGATTGTTAGCACCACTAATCTTTCTTGAATGAGAATCATTATTGTTATATTAATACGTAAAAAAAATCTTCGCAGCTAAAGACTGGATTATTTAAATCTATTTTTCCGTAGGTACGTTTCTCTTTTTAGTACTAGTCTCTTTGATGTATCGAACAAACTGATTTCTGAACCAATTGCCCTATAATTTGCTTAAAATTGTCAAAACAGTCCAGTTTTCTTCTTTAAAGAATGCGCTCTTAGGACCTTTTAACAACAGGGAAACTGTATTAATATGGATAATGCACTATCGAACAACTGATTTCCAACCCAATTGCCCAATGATTTGCTTAAAAATGTAAAAACAGACCAGTTTTATTCTTTAAAGAATGTGCTCACAGGACCTCCTAATAACAGGGAAATTGTATTATTAAGGATCAAAAATCTTCGAAAATTGGCCTTTGTTTTCAATGCAGAAGATCATCTTATAAAATTGGAAAAGTAGTTTGAATTTTGAAATCAATTTAAAAATCGTTAATCCAACAGGAGCTCTTTAGATTTCTTGACATTAAGAGAAACCTTGGTAATTAATAAGGAAACAGGTAATTACTTTACGGGCATAACTCGAAATAATATAACGTCCACAATAAGTCACAGGAGGCGGCAAAATCTGTCATGTCAAATATTATTGTTCAGTAAATAACAAGTTTGTTTCCAGGGATACGTACATTTAAGAGAAAATGAATCCTTATTGTTTTGCAATATTCGTTAGAAAATAAGCTTATGTTGGGTCAGGAATCATTTTGGCTGATAGTACATGACATTTTGTACCACTTGGAGTGTGAGAATTTTGCATACTTAATAATTATAATTAATATAAATAGATTAAATTAATAAATTCAAATTAATTAACATGCGTTTGAAATACATACAACACCTGTTAATCATTAGTATTATTCATTAGGTTTCAAATAACAGATATGTGCATACATCATATGTATACATACATATCTTTATATCGTTGTTTCTTTTTAAATAATAGAAGTTCTATATAATTTGAATTAAAAAAATGTAGAGCCGCATTTGATATGAATAGCCTGAAGCGAAAGCATTTAAGCATTATTTATAGTATTTTTTATTGAAACTACTCATAAGAAACTACTATAAATAAAGCTTTTAATCCGAAGGCATTAAAATAAAATACACAATCGATGAGAGCAGCTCCAACTTCCATCGAGTTTTAATCTCATCAAATCCTACAAACTGCGCGCTATGTTATAGCCCTTACTAACGTATAGCATAAAATGTACATCGCACTCCTATTTCTATATTGACAGGTATGTTTCTTGGGTTTTAATTGGTTTTAACGCACAAAACTCATTAAATAAAACAGTTTCATCGGGTTATATGCACTGAATTTATTTATTCTTCGATTTATTTATTCATTATTCCGACGACGCATTCTTGCAAAGGGTGCGAAACGTCAATAAATAAATAAATTCAGTGCATTATAACCCGTTGAAACGGTTTTATTTATTTTCAGGTATGTTGCCATTTATTCACATTTTAATGTATAGCCTCGTTTCTGACTTACAATTAGCCAGTATTTAATATAAAAACAAATCTCTGACGGATTAATAAATCCATTTCGTTCATTCATAATAAAGATGCTAAGTACTTTCTGTGGCCTTGAAATCAGTCACACTTGACGAATATCACGTGAATTTGATATCGCGTGATTTTGAAAAGTATGTACACAAGCAATTTCGAGGTTTAGTATAATTAATTTGTAAATGTTAATCGAAGAAAGCCCAGTGTGATGGAAGGTACCTTCTATATCCTCGTGACATGGACCTTGGAGCCATCGTTGCACTAATTCAATACTGGCTTCCTGACCAGCTAACATTTTGTATAAACATATTTAAATCCACTTCACTGGTGAGCCATGCATTCACTTTTTTTCAACACAATCATATTAATAAAAAAAAACCGAATTTACGCGACCAAAACCGTTTCAACTTTCGCGAAGCTCATAAAAAGTTTGCCCATGACGATAGCCGACCAATTTATTTTCACAGAAACGTAAAAATCTGTCCGTACAGTAAAAACATGACGGTTGAGTTAATAAAAAAAAACGAAAAATGATTCTAAAATTGAATTATCGCGACCAAAAGAAATGGCAGCGCATTGCCGCGTTCAAATATCGAATTAATTAAATGACGATCGCCGACAGGCCAGTGTAAACAGCGAGTGAAGTAGACGAAACCAAGTTGTTTTCTGCGGCCAATTCTCGGTACAATGAACTCTGCACATTTGAGTTAAGGCGCGTAATGGCTATGTTTGTTTGTTGTTGGTTGTTGTGAGCATGGAGTTTGTAGAGCGCCGAACGGTTAGGTAATGGCCGTCAAGTCGAAGCGGTTGATCGAAGAAGGGGGGGAATGTAGGACGAGACCGCGAGCATACATTACTCATCTAGAAGGGATATGTAGATTCAGGTCCATTGTTGTCACTGTATTGTGTCTCTTCTTAGTCAGTCTTACACTTAGATAATTATGCGACATGATAAAAGTGCCTGTAAATATACAAAAAAGAGATACTAATGCGGGTCTTGCTAAGTTTCTTGCTGATTCTCTTGAGACAAACATGTAGATTGAGAGAGTATGATTAGAAAGTCTACAATTAACACTCTTTGATGGTTTATTTTGAATTTTAATAAGTTCGTCGCTATATTTTTTATTTCTTGTGCAAAATTATTCGAAGTGAAAACTTCTTTAGGCGCGTTGATTATTTGAGATGGGAAAAAGCCCTTGAACTCGCGACACCGCGATCGACGCCGACGACACCTCTGTATAAAAGTATATGTATTAAAATTTTGTTCACCATCGCGTAGTAGTGGCTTGTTCTAACTAATGCAACAAACGTTCTTTCGAGTGCATGAGGTCTTGCGGGCTTTTACACTTTGTTTACGATATTATTAAGCATTTGATATACGATATACAGGTATGTTTATCTCTTCTGGTAACATCTATCTGTGTAATGTCGTTGGCAATTCAATAATGTGTTGTCTTGAACGGTATGCAGGCTTTGTGCATGACCAGTTACCTACTATGCGCGTATTAGGAAGGTTGCGCCTAATAACTGTATGGTTAGCTGTTGAGCGTTTAATGCAAATGAGAATTTAGTTATTTTCCACATATATTTCCGATTTTCTTACAGTATTATTAAGGTTTAGAAATTTATTTATTGACGATCTTTCTCTCTCTCTCTATAGAATTAAATAAGAATGTTCAGTTACTACCTATATATACACACCAAGTTATTACCAAATGTCAAGAAATTTCAGACGATAAATGAACTTTATATTTTGTATACCAAATCTCAGTCAGTTAACAGAATAAAATATGTTAGATAACATACTTAAAAAACGTTAACTGATAGAGCAGAGAGATATTTTTAGTCCCCGGAAAGGACAAGGGATAGATTTTATTGCAGAAATTATCCTTTGAGGGGGTGAAAAATTAGTAAGAAGTTTGTATGTGAAAATAATTTTTCCACGCAAACAAAGTCGTGCGCGCTAGTTTATAATAAAAGCATGGATCTAGAGCTTGAAAATAAGCTTGTTTTGAAATATTTTTGAATACAAATTAACTGAAAGCATTACTACTCTTTAAACATAATTAACCATCCCGTGCTTTCTAGCAGATATGAGTATTACAGTACTAGCGGCCACCCGCGACTTTATCCGCCTTAACTTTGGTTTTTGAGAATCTCACAGAAACTTAACATTTTCCGGGATGAAAAGCATCCTATGTCACAATCCAAACGTGAAGTTTGGTCCGCATGTAGTTTATATATCTATATCCGTTGAGCAGTTTTTTCGTTATTGAGTAATAAACATATAAACTTTAACGTTTATTATATAAGTAGGATTTAAAAGTTTGTATGTTTGTTTAATTGTTACTCAATCACCAAAAAACTGCTGAACGGATTTGGTTGAAATTTGTTACACGTATAGTTGATAACCTGGATTATTACATAGGATACTTTTTACCCCCAAAAAATATAAGGTTCCTGTGGGATTCTCAAAAACTAAAGTTTACGCGGACTAAGTCGCGGGCGGCCGCTAGTTTATAATATTTGTAGGATGGATCGATGCAGTGATATTAACTCTTCTCATCAACATCGTTGGTCCCAAAACTGGTCTGTCCGAAAACAAAAACTTGAAATAGCTGGCTACCAACTTTTTCCCACAGACAGTAACAGTCTATCAACACAAAGGGCAGTTTCAAAAACTAATTATAGGAGATGGACTCGGCAAACTATTGTTTTCTGACAATAACTCAGGCCTAATAAAGTATCTACGAAGCATCGTTTCGATAATAATTATAATAATAATATCTATCTATTTTTGTTCTTATTTTTAACCGACTTCAAAAAGGAGGAGGTTCTTAAAATGACATTATTATTTTTTATTCTCGTTTACGCATATCTACGAGGCTTATTGACTGACTAGCAGACCCGGCGAACTTCATATCGACTTACAGTCGATGAAATTGGTTAATTTGAGGAAAAAGGTTATAGTAAGTTAAACTGAAATAATAGGCCATATGCAATCACGGATTTTTATGTAACTTTTAAAGAGGAACAATTCCGTCATACCTACATTATTTTTGTGTAACTTTAACCATTTACGCTGCGCAACAAAAACTCTGAAAAGGAATATTTTTTCCCGTTTTTGCAACATTTTTCATTTATGCTCCGCTACTATGAGTCTTATCATGATGTTATATAGCCTATAACCTTCCTCGATAAATGGGCTATCTATCAAAAATATTTTTTCAATTTGAATCAGTAGATTGTGAGATTAGGACGTTCAACCAAGCAATCAAACAAATTATTCAGCTTTATAATATTACGAGTTCGTGAGGTTAGATTTTGATGGTTCTTTTGTTTAGAAAAGTTCGTGAGTGAGATGGTAATTTATTAATTTGGTAAATATCCGATAAATATATTTTTGTTATTTAAATCAAATTATAAAATCAGTCTCTCTAGTAGTCTAGTAGTCAATAGTCTTAAGAAAAATGGAGAGAACAATGGAGTTTTAAGTTTTCTTTAAAAAAAACTTTTGTTTTATTAAACCGTTTCATATTACCAACTTTATTAATTAATATTCAGCTATTCATCCGTGCTTAAGTAAAGGCACCAACAACCCGTCTTCGTCGACTATTCATTACGTAGTAACAGTCTGTTGTCTCACCCATTAATTTGGTATGTAAATTCCGACTAATCTTCATTCCACACAATGTTAGAATTGTATTAGCCAGGTGCTTACTAAGGGAAGTGTACCTATCTATATAATTACTAACTTTGAGAAGGCGGTCTTAACAATCACTTTAAAGATGTGACTCAATTACGCAGACGAGATAGAATGAACATTAACGAAATGTAACGATTTTTGGGGCTTTACGGCTTTAAATAATTATGCGAGAGAGCTTAGCGCATTATCATCTGGAAGTAGAGCGTCTTTGTGGGGAAGTTATATCCACCTTCTAGAAGTTCATATTTAATATACACCGTGAATTTTTAGTTACCTGAGAAACCTTAATATCGTGTAATAAATAGTGCGAACAGTTACATACAGTTAATTTACTGCACCCCCATGCAAAAATATTTGTTTATATCGTTTATAAAATATTGTAAAACGGCGCGAATAAGTTAATAACACACCGATACTGGAATTATTATTTTTATCTGTTTAAAGTACGTAGATCCTAAAAGTAGCTATATTTTAATCAATTTTATAATAAATAAAATTGTTAAGGTTTCATTATTGCACAATTTGAGAGTTAAGGTGAAGACATTATTCGAAACAGAAAAGAAAACTTTTTTTTTTCGGAAATATAACCTAAATCGCTGTCTGAATTAGCCTGTAGCCATAGTTTGTAGTTTCCCAGGTTACTCAAAATTCACAGTGTACCTATAGTATAAATACCTTTCAGTTAGTAATATAGTATTATAATTATTATTATCTGTGCTTTCGGTGATATTGTGTTTTATAATGCCCTTTTACCTGCTCAGGTAAGTAATAGCTACTATATTTTAGGTTCCATTTCGCTCCCGGGCTAGTCTGGCATGAACGATTGTAACCGCAACTTGATACGTCCCTTAGGTGTTAATATCAGGGGGTTGGCTATTTATCTGTTTTATAACTTAAAAACTAGTAACCAATTGTAAAATGTACGACGTGTTAAGTGAACTGTTTCGTAAGATAAGATTATGAGAATACTTTCAGTGTATATGCAGCACACACATTTACCGAAATTTATTCCCTTATTCCTTGAAGTCTTCCATTGGAGGAGTTATCAGATATCCAGTGTTAAATAAGCTGAGTAGAAAAGTGTCCCAGACATAGCTCTAGTACGCAATATCGTTAAAAATTGCGAATTGGAATTGGAGCGCCCGTCTGGAGAAGTAACCTTCACCTTACAGAAGATCACAGTAAAATAACACTACCTTTTGGTGGTGTTGTGTTTCTGTCGGTAAGTAAGGTTCCAGGGCTCTACGGGGTAGGGGATTGGGTAAAGGTAGGCAACGGTGCGGGTGATATTTTTGGTATCGCAAGCGCCTACAGGCTATGGTGGCCCTTATCATGAGATGGATCAAACGTTTGTTTGCCACCTTTTTAACCTAAAAAATTAACTACCTGAATGGACTTCATCATCATCATATTTTCAACAATATAATTTCCTTCCTGTTGGGAAACAAGTCTCCTCGTTAATAAAGTTATTTTGCGAAACTTTCCAACTAATTCCTCGAATAATAAATAGGTAAGTAGTATTTTTATTCGTCAACATTAATCTAGATTCCACTGCTAAAGTAAACTGGAGTAGTGATAGACTGGTCGCGCGTAATAGGTAATAATAATAATGTAAGAAATTAGCACGAGGTTGTCACTTATCACACATCACAATACGACTATAATGCCTATCGCACGACCGCGCGACCGACGGCGACGTCGGTCGATATGAGAACTGTTTTGTTGAGCTTGTGAAAGATATGAACAGATACTTATTACAAAACATGCGTGGCCACATTCTGTTAGCGACAAGGCAAAGGAAGTTGACAGCAAAAAAAAATTTGGAAATAAAAAAAAATATTTTCGTTATTTACTGAAAAGGAGGAAATATCTAATCAGAGATTTAAAATGTTTAATTTTATGTTTTTCCACACTTCGTTATCCTTTAATATTTCTCAATGATATATTAAATATTGCGTAAAAGTCAATATTCCAAAGGGTAAAAAATTGAGCTAGCTTCACAATCAATTACGCTACGCGTTGTCATAGATCAGAAACGAGTAGAAAGAATAGATTATCATTTGATGAAGCACATGCTTACAACAGTGAATTCAACCATCATCAACATAATGATTAAGTGCCTTTTGAAGAACGAAAGAGATATGGTATTTTTA